TGGATATCGGTGGTGGTAAGGGTCTAGTTCGTGCTTTTCGACCTCATCGGGGTAGATCTGGCGAATCATACGCTCTGACATCTTCTCACACACACCTGGGTTGATTTGACTGAGTTGCGTTCGCTGGCGGACCTTGTAGCCTTTCTCCTTCAGGACATCAGAAGTTTGCACCGTACGCATACGAGTCGATGTCCAAACGGTGAGTGGCGGTAGAGGCACATCTGGACCCCCTTCCTCGATGTTTGTAAGACGTTCCTGCTCTCGGTGTTTCAAAAGAGCCTCGGACATTTTTTGGGCATAATCTCTCCCCTCTTGGGACAGAGGGGCATCAGCCTTGTACGAGTCTTCTTCTGCTGTTGTACCAGCTCGGGCGAAGAAAGTTTTCCGTGATTTGATATGTAGGTTGGTGAGGTAGAAGACGATTCGGTGAGCAAGATAATTGAAGCTGACGTTGTTGTAGAAGAATTTCTCCCCGGCGTTGATCATCTTGATGTAGTTCAACTCCTTCTCATTCATAGTTTCAAATACGGGAATCTTCATCTCAATTCTCTGAAGGTATAGCTTGGCGGCTTCATCAGGTTCCATACCAGCAAACTGTAGTCAACATTCAACATTAGTCATGTTTGATCTAAGGAGATTGTACTTACGTCTGGGGATGAGATCTTGACATTTCTTGCATTCTCGCGAAGGATGCGTTCATCATCGACAAATGACTCGATGAAAAGAGTCTGCTGCGTCAGCGATTGCTGAGACCTGACAAGATGGGTGGTAACTTACTTGAACATCATGCTTAGCAAACTCCTTGGCCAGAGAACGCCGTCCGTTAGCAGTAGGGTTCACTGCATCGTAAATGGCGACTTGTCCATTATCGTGATTCAGCCAGGAATAGATGTCTTCACGGCATTTCTTCAGGATTTTCTGGCGCAGAATGACAGAGGCAGGCGATGCGTTCGGGAAGAAATAATCATCAGGAATAGATCCATCAGGACCAACAGTTGCTCGACGGTAGTCGCCAAGATGAAAGATACGAGACTTCACACCGAGCCATCCTAAATACCGTGCCATGGAAACACATATATGTCTGAGATGTTGTTAACTTGGACTAGTCATGGAATAATGAAACCTACGTTTTCCCACGTGCAGGTGGTCCAACCATGACAATGGCAATGCGGCCAGAGTGAAATAGTCGGCCAGACATGGTACTGTAGAGCTGAGCTGGGGCCAGATCTTGACCATGAGGAATGTCATGAATGGCGTCAATAAATGTAGAGCTCTTGCGGCGGTAGCGAGGAGCATTGGCCGCAATCTCGGCGGTTCTGTCAACATCAGCTTCATCGCTACCGTGGATAAAGTAGAAGATTTCTGTCCGTGGTGAAGGTTGTAAAGACGGGGATCGACGTAAAGTGACAGTCCAAATTACAGAGTTCCGTGATTCTAGGAATGGCTGTGGTACCGACTTGAAGTTCAAAGATAAGGAAATTATCTAGACACAAGGAGAGACGGGTGATGTGAAGAGATGAGAGAGGATAGCAACATACAGAAGAGTATCCATTTTGTCTTTGATCCGTGATACCTATACTGGATGATTGTATGGTAAGATTTCTGAGTGAGGAGGCCGTATTCGAGAGACTGGAGATTCTGAGGCTCGACCAACGCAGATGGCTGTAACTTGCGAGCCTAAAACTAGTCCAGGCTTTCAGAGGTTTCAGATAAAAACAGCTCGATTGGCGGTAAAGCAAGAAAAGTAGGACCACCGAGCCTTGTGTATTGGTGAAGCCCTCAACAGCCCCGATCGTTGAGTGTGATGGATCTTCAACAAGGGTGAGCTTCAGGGTGAGCCTCAAAGAAACGATTAGTGGCAGAAGCCGGTCGTTGCCGGCGGGGTCAATATTCAAAAGCGAACAAGCCGGCCGTCTGATGCTACTACGATGGAGCACTGGGTTGATCAAAAGGCAATTTCGCGTTTGAAGTGAACACGAGAGAGACAACCTAAATGAACATGGGGACGAGGAGCAAAAGTTGAGTTTAGAATAGCAATCGTTTGGTGTTGTAGAATATGCCACAGGAGGGGAGTTAGAGATCAGGTGCAGGGGTACTCTTCGAAGTATCTGTACTCACGAAGAGGGACGTCATGTCCTAAAGATGCGTTGTAAAGTTAGTGCAGGCAAACCCTAAATCCTTGAGATAGAACACCGCCTGAAAGTATACAGTACCTTGTACTACCACACAGCCGCTTCTGGCGCAGCTTACCCGATTTACAGTGAGTAGGTGGGACGCTTCTGCACTTGCCATCCAGTTCTCCAGTTGTAGGGTATCCTCGGGCGTTGGGCTGTTCTTAGCCACAGTCCCCCAGGACAGCCAGAGAGCGCCACAGCCGACTCGGCATCATAGGTGGCTTGTGCTCCCCACCCAAGAGCTGTCCAAGCCAGATGAAAATTATTCTCCATCTCCATCCAACTGCGCTCGTCATCACGTTCCTGGCGTTCAGAGGCCTCGGCATTCAATCGCTTTCGAGGGTATCTTAATAACTCCTTCTATTCCACTAATTTCGCCTCACCAAATCTCGCTGCGGCTGGCTGATCGTCCACATCGTCACCGTCGACTATTCCTTTGTTCGCTCCTCTTCCGACCTCTTCACATCCTCGCTTCGGCGCACCTCAGTCACAATGGCCTCCGCAGCCGCATTGGAACCCGTTAAGACGGCTTTGCTCTCCAATCCCATCGCTAGCGTTTTAGGAGATGCTCTCAACTCGTTTAATGAGCGAAGGGCCAAACTAGGCCTCTCCAACCCAGGAACTATCGAGAGTCTTGCCAAGGAGGTCCAGCGCGATGTCTTCCTCAACAATTACATGTTCACCGGAATGCGTGCCGATCTCACAAAGATCTTTAGCATGGCACCTCTTTTCCAGGTTTCCCATCAATTCGCCATGGGCGAGCGCATCAACCCCTACACCTTTGCTGCGATGTACGGAACAGGCAAGGTAGCTACCATAAGCCATGATATTTTCGCATTGTAGGTCGCTGATTCATCGACAGGTCTTCTGCCAAGGTAACCTGGATAACGAGGGTTCTCTCTCCGGTCGATTCAACTGGAGATGGTCAGACAAGTTTGTCTCCAAGTCCCAAATCTCCATTTCTCCTGGTGGTCAGGATATGGCGCAGTTCGAGCACGAGTATACCGGCAACGATTTCAGCGCATCCCTCAAGATGCTTAACCCCTCTTACCTTGAGGGTGGTGTGACTGGCATCTATATCGGAAGCTACCTCCAGTCTGTCACTCCTAAGCTTGCCCTAGGTCTTGAAACTCTCTGGCAGCGACCTGCCCTCACTCAAGGCCCCGAGTGCGCCGTCTCTTATGCTGCCCGGTACAAGTCCGCAGACTGGATCGCTACCGCTCAGCTCCAGGCTGCTATGGGTACTCTCAACACCTCTTACTGGCGACGACTCTCGGACAAGGTTCAGGCCGGTGTTGATTTGAGCCTGGGTCTCGTTCCCTCTGCCGGTGGCCTCATGGGTGGTGGCCTTCAGAAGGAGGGTGTCACCACCATTGGTGCCAAGTACGATTTCCGCATGTCTACTTTCCGAGCTCAGGTCGACTCCAAGGGCAAGCTAAGCTGCGTTTTGGAAAAGCGTGTTGCACCTCCCGTTATGATGACATTTGCTGCTGATATTGATCACTTCACGGTTTGTGCCCTCATCCCCATCCATTCAACTACGTACTGACGACCACTGCAGCATCAAGCTAAGATTGGCCTGGGTGTCTCAATTGAGGCAGCCCCTGAGGAGCTCCAAGAACAACAGGAGTCTCTTGGCTCTCAGCCTCCCCCTAACATCCCCTTCTAAGCTCTGAGCCTAAACTCCTCTTACATCCGCGACGACGCGGCATTCCCCGCTCAAATGAGTGATATATTTTAATGATCGCTCAACTGTGAGCAGGCCAGGACGAAGTTTCGACCTCACCCCAAACCCTTCTCACCACATTCGATGTCTTATTAGTCGTCCTTTCCGTCTCTGGTGATACCATGACTTCCGAGCCCAAGGGAGACCTTGCGCTTATGTGGCCTGGCCAGTTTTGGTTCCTGGTCCAACCCCATGTGCTTGGAAGTTGGGTATCTGTGTATATTATTGTCGTGGACTTGCATCGTTCTGGTCATGTGTATGAATTTTCTGTAACGCACATTACGGAGGGACGAAAAATCGGTCATCGCACTGTTCTTGTTTTTAAATAGTTTTGAACGAACTCCTCATCTCGGCGCTCATCGCGGCTGCGGATGTTTTAGTTCGATGTGTTGATGGATCTGGATGAGATGGTGGATATCAGGGCAAGCTACGAAGAGATGGCCTCCCTGCTCATGTATATGTGTATAAGGAAATAGACAAACTTGAAACTACGACCTTCCCCTTCTCATGGATTGCATACGATAAATGGTCATGGATCATCTGACTCCTTTTTAGAGGCAAAACGTCTTTCATCACAATTCGGTTGATACATCATAGGATATCTTGTCAATTGAAAGCACCTTGAGGCTCTAGAACAACAAAAATGAACATTCTTTTTCGCCCCCAACGTGCGATACCATCTCTGTTTCTTGTGTCTCATACTTTCGTGTATCATGTTCGAAGTAAGCTTTGAAAGCTAGCCTTGCGACAACGTCAAGTTGTCACACCCGCCCAAAACGCCTTGCTAATTACAAAAGCTCTGTTTACTTTTTTCTTTTGAAAGACCAACACAAAAAACAATACAATAAGGCCCTTATAGGATACCAGAATCACAAGACCATCTCTTTGTAACCTGCTGTCCAACTTCATACTAACAACAGAGTCTTTGCGTTATTTCATCACTACCCATCTGTTTAGGCACGTGCCAGTTCCCCTTTAAATGAAGACTCCTATAACTATGCATGTCCAAACATCAGAACGGTCGTAAGTATGTGAAGTATAATCTGATTGTATTCTCTCTCTCGTAACGTGGTTATCGGGATGACGTGACAGGATGGCTGTTACATCACTGTGCATTCTCGTTCGGGTTGGTCGCCACTCTTATTCTTTACTTTTTCTTTGGATTTGACCCTCTTATGACCATGCTTATGGCCATGGTGACGATGATGATGCTGTTCGGGCTCTGGTTCGGCGAGTTGTTCTGTCCCATCCACGATATCCTTCGACTCCTTCGACTCCTTCGGCTCTTTAGATATCTCTGCCGTCAAGACACCCGTGGAGTTGGCAGAAGACATGCCAAGACCATTGGGCTCATCTTTGGGCTCCGTCAAAGGTTCTTTGCTAGGCCGCATGAGGCCGCCCAGTCTGCTCATCGAGAAACTAATGCGATTTTCTCCATTCTGGCTACTCGGCCGACTCCTGTTAACCAACGTGAATCTAGATGCTGCGCGTGACAGCCTCGATGCTGTCGATTCTTCGTTAGGCGTGACTGCTGGAGAGTGGGAGTTGGGGGTATGAGAGGTCGATTCAGTCCAAACAGCGCTAGGACGCCGCGAGTCCCCAGCCAGAGATCCTGGGTGGCGATCGACATCTTCGCTTCTTCGTGGCCTTTCGCCCTCCATAGAGAGTCGAATACTTGGTGGTTTGCTAGACAAAAGTTGTGAGTTTTCTAGGGTTGGTGTACTATCAAAATAACCCCCCTCCAGACTACCCAATCGGTTGCTTCGTGAAGGAGTAGGAGGCAATTCAATGCTGATTTTCGAATCGTTATAGGAAGGCGGTTCCGTCTCTGTCTCGTCCACAGATGAAGGCGAGACCTCGACCATAGGCATAATCTGATAGAAAAGAAGATACGGCATTTCCTCCTTCAATGCTGACCTGATATCTTCCACATAACTGACTCGGCTTTCGATCTGGAGGTCATCGAACTTGACCCATTGTGCTTCTTCGTAATCCGGTGGTGGGTCGAAATTATGTCGTCTATTGTCTTTCAATAACTTAGGGGCCACCCGGGCGAATGAAACATAATGACCACTTTGTAGTGAGTCTCCCCGGTGGCAGATGACGGACTGTAGGACGAGCTTATAGTCCGTGTTAAGCACGTTCATATCTTCCTCGGCCTTAGGTTCATCGGCAAGCATGAAATGGGGTAGTCTCAGACTATCGGGAATGTCGATAAAGGTATTGTGACGTTTCGGCTGGCCGGACTCAGTCATAGCGTAACGTTTGAGACAAATGCCAACAACAGGCCTTTGCTCAAAGTTCAATGCAACCTCCGTGTTATTTCTGGGCTCACTGCTTGACAGCGCATGCCAAGCTAAATTGGATGTTAGTATTCGTATTGAGCTTAACCGAGGTGTCACAAACTTACGAATCAGTCGGAAAAACTGCCAGGCAGGAATAGTAACTGCCTTCACAACTGTCGAGCCTTTCCTCATAGCCTTTTGAAGCATTGTGACATTGTCTGGGGTAGAGGGGCGGCCGTCTTCGTCCAACACTACACGCTGGATAACGCTGGTTGACCTCGTTCGCATGCTTGGCTTGTTTTTGACTATTTCCACAGTGGTAACCTCTCCCTCTGCTTCATCATCAGGGGCATTTCCGTCCTTGACATTGGGATCTGTCAAAAAAAGGGGAAGCCCCTTTTCCGAAGTTGGTGTTATTTCCAATGGTGTATTTACCAAAGGAGATGTTGGCGTTGATGCTTCGCCGCGTTCTTCCGTGATGATTCGAATCGTATCCCTGTGTTTGAGTGTTGGTGTCTCGCTTCGACTCTTCTCTTCTACCCCGAGCTTCTTCCCGTCTTCACTATCTCGCTTGACGTCGACCTGGGCGTTAAAGTATTCTTCGAGACAGTCTTCCAGCTTTAGACCCTTTCCTTCAGGATCTGGAGGTATAGCCAGATTCAAGAGACGCTCATAGACAACCTTGTGGTCGTCCTTGTCCTTCTTGCCCTGGTGGAAAAGATCGACTTGCAGTGAAAGCAAAGGTAGCTGTAAGGTTTCTGTTATGAAGGCAAAAGCCTCCGAGGTATCTTGCTGCTCAAGCATCCGTGCGTCCGACCATCCACAGTCAGCCAGAGCGTCCTGTATCAACTTAGTCTGTTCAAATGTTAGTTTGAGCATCAGCGAGATTGCGCCTATGCCACCCACCATGTCTGTATGCACTAATTTCCCCGTTCTCAACATGTTAACCCACATCCGCAAGAGATTGACAAGTTTGTTGCGATTGTCTTCTTCTGGGAAGTCGTTCTTGAGCATACACTCGAAAGCATCGATCTTGGCAAACATTGAGAACAAGAGCGCATCGAGATAGCAAGTCACATTGCCACGGTTTTCGGCGCCCACCATGTCCACGCCGGGATCATATGGGGTAATGATACCAGCTGCGGCCTTTTGCTCCATGTCGATGAATTCGACTGTCTTGTTGGGGTCGTGGTCTGCAAACTTGGTTGCCATAATGTCGGTAACATGGTCGGCGGTGACATTAGTTATATTGAGTTCGTCAAGTCGTCGTAAAATGTCCTCGACCTAATAGAAGGCAAAGTTAATGTCACGATCCTTCATGCCGTGAGTCGAATCGTACTTGTGCGGTATCCTTCTCTTTCTCTGCTTCTGCTTTTGCCCCTTGTTTTGCGCTGTCGTTTTTGAATAAGGCCATGAAAGCCCCAGCGGAGAGTGGTCGAGGCTGGATAGCTGTTCGTCAGAATAACTAATCTTAGACTAAGATGGGCTCGTAACTGAATACAGTTCCATGGATCACTCATCAAGCAGGAATTCCGATTCAGGTAATGACGTACCTTGTTCTTGTTCCCAGTGCTGTCAGGAACCGTTGGGATAGCTGGCGCTGGTGTAGCCGACTTAGATCGCCGGCCATTCTTTTCGCGCTTGCTGAGAAACTTTCTAGGAAACTCCTTCATGGTGCTTGAATAGCGAGGAAGAGACGAATATATCGATCGAAAGCAAGAGAGGGACTCGTCAGGTTCAACGAGGGAGCAACAAGCCACAAGTCTTCATTATCGGGGGTGTATCCGTGGTTTGAGAAGGGTCGGGAAGTGGCTCGAGTGCGACGCGCGCGAGGGATGAGATGGAATTGCTTGGTTTATGGTAATCAAGTGTTCGACGAGTGGAGGAATCGATGGAGGAAGAGAACACGAAGCAAGAGCTTCAAGCTTTTAAGAACAGAAAGGAATTTTTAGTTTGTTGGAGCAATGGAAAAAGCGAGGAAGCTGAAAGACATCCTTTAGTTGGAGGGACCTGTGTACATGAAAAAAAAGGCCGAGACTGGGTGATCAGCGAGGAAAGTCGGGCGTCGGAGCGCAAGTCTCAATGGCCGAACAGCCCACGGGAGCGCTTGTTGAGGGGCTAGAGGGGGTGACCTGGAGGGCATCGTACTAAAATAGAAGGATAGGCACCTAGGTTGATAGTGGCGGGGGTGGGACAGCCTCTGAGGTAAGGTTTAAGGTAACAAGAGTTGCAGGTCCCCTGTGCCCTGTCAATCCTGTCACTCCCGTCGGTAAGTTGTAGCTGGAGGTTTACTTCTTTGTTTTGCCTTTTGCCATGGAACAAAAAAGTCGACATGGGAGTTTGCAGCTATTATATTCATTTGCCTCGGACAACCACAGGTCAACATTACATTTCATTGGTTAGTGTGACCGGTTCAACGGCGCTGATTTGGATCCTTTCTTTTTGTTCCATTCCAGGCCTTTCCTAGCCAATTTCCGCGTAAACAACAAGGACAAAAACGGCCGCCTTGCATGCCGAGCTAAGCCAACGTGGAAGTTGGCAGATAGTGTTGAAAAAGTCAAGTGATTTACGGATTATTGAAGCCTGGTCAACTAAACTCAACAATTACACACGTGTTATCATGTGTGATGGAATACTCGTCTGTGCATCAGCTTCCCTTCTCCTGATAGACCCTATCTTGGCCACAGCATCATTGTACATGCGTAGTAGGTTCTGTAATCTTATTCTCAAATCACCTAACCCACTCGGCTCTTCCTCAGCTAAACTCAGCCAGAAATCTGTGTAGCACAACAGTTCCACCATAACACACTTTGTAATAGCCCCGAAAGGGTGATACTCTGTATCATTTGGTGGCTTTGCACTGTCATCATCATCATCATCACCATCATCATCATGATCCTCATCTTACTGCACTTCGTCATTCAGAGCCCTTCTATTATCGCCCGTCTGGCTGTGTGTCTTTTAGGCTGAGATGATACACGCATATCAGGGCCATGGGCATAACAGAACTGGTGACCCGAGAAAAAGCGGACTATGTAGGCGTGTGAGTATGTCAGGTTGTTATAGCCAAATAGGTAGACGCATTCAATCGGTCGGAATTGGATCTCTAATTCGTACTTGAACACGTATGCAATTCAGTCTTGTGCCAAATAAACCGAAAGTCCCTCTAGGATGCTGAAGCCTCTTCGGTCTGGTGTTGCATATTATCAGCCACACCAGAAGATGAGTTCCTGAAAAAGGAGGATGCATAAAGTAGGTAGGTATTTAACCATACTGGTGGTCTGAGGAGCCTGATCTAGGTATTGCCTGTAAATCTTTTATCGTGACGTATAGGCCCTTAAAAATTTATCAGACCGCCCCTCTGGACGTGTTAGATCGATCCCCATGTCGGATGTTAACTACCCCATGTTTGTCCGACAACGTATGGCTGTTGATGCCTTCGGGCCGCCCGTTGAAAACCTGGTCCGTTGGGAAAGCCACCTGTGTATCTGAACTCGGTCGCCAGATCGGCCCTTGCTGTCGAGAAGACGGAGATAAACCGGGTCGCCGGGTCCACGGGCATCCCGCCGCCCAGCTTTTCGGGTCCGCTCCCTATTTTGAGGCATCTTAGACCTACATGAATGATTGAAGTATGTTGTCGGACTGTTGCATAGTCCGAGACCGATGGATACTAGCGGACGTTGAAAAGTGACTCGGGCAAAGCGATGTCGTCCGTTTTTCTTGAGAACAAGACCATTGGTGGCTTCGTACCCATGCACTGTTGGGATACAACGCTTGTATTAAACCTGGTTTCTAGATCTGGGTAATGGAGGGGCGATCGAAGTGCTTCAGGACTGGGCAATCAGATAATGAAAGCCACATGGGTGTCAACTCAAAAAGGAAAAGCTGAACTATCGAGTTTGCATATCCAAAGTTAGATGTTTTGAATGGAACCTTTTTTTTTTTTTAAAGTTTTTTTTTATTTTAAACGCTGTTGTGGGAAAATGACAATTGATAGAAAAAATATTGGAAGTGAAATCCTTAATATTGTAACTCTGGCTATAGAGATTTAATAAAATATTGATATGACGCTTTGGGTAATAAGGAAAGAGGAACTAAACCGAACAAACTTCGATTTAGCAATGAGAGTTATTATAGGTCTTATGTATATACTTATATCTTCGTAGAGGATGATCCAAAGGGTGTAAGCTGAGTCACGACGGTTTCAAGCACAGCCACAACTATAGATAACTGCCACATGTGGCGCACTCAAGCGCTAACTGCTTAGATGGAAATTTCCAAATCCACGCGACGACCTCACATCTTTTCGACGACGAGGAATTCCACTCCAGGAGCCCATGATGACCACGATACGAGAAGGAGCTCGCATGGCGAGCTTATTGGGACGGAGGCATCTGCCTCTGAGGACAGGTTCTCTTTGTGTGCAGCGGTTCGCCTCGACCGAGGCAAAGAAGTCCTCCGCTCTCGCAGATCTTGACAATGCTTCGTCTTTTGCGACAGGTTCACCCGACGAAGCGGCTATCCAGGCCTTCAATTCTAGAGAAAAGGCTGCAGAAACGGGTAAAAAACTTCCCGGCAATAGGTTCGTAGCCCAATTGCTCATTTGACTGAGCACGAGTTAATTGACTTGCGACAGATACCAATATCATCCTCCCAAGTACTATCGTGGCCCTCTACATCCCGTCCAGGTGCCCAAGTCCTCCGATCCGACTGCTCGAGACTTCGTCCCCGGCCCTTTCAGCTTTCCTCGACTAAAGCACACATACGAAAGCACGATTGCTCCAGATCTGATTGCCATGACATATCAGCATACCCCGCCAGGTTCAGAAGTTCCTGTTTCTAACAAGGGTAACTTGAGAGAATGGGACGAGTCTTCGCCTTACCACAAGAACCGACCTCGCCGAGGACCTCGAGGTGGTGGCTCTTCAAGGCTGGGCTTAGTGGAGCGCCCAATTGAATGGCACAACGTACCTGACATCGAGGCTATCACTATCAACTCATTCGCTCCCATGGGTGCCCAGAACAAGGAGTACCTGCACGTATGCCGTGCTGTTATACAAGCCATCTCTGGTGCCTTCCCTGAGGTCACACGAGTCAAGCATGGCGTCGTTCAGTGGGGTGTCAGAAAGGGTGACAAGACTGGTTGCAAGGTGACCCTGAAAGGTGCTCAGGCTTACGACTTCCTTGATAAGCTCATTACTCTAGTCCTGCCTAAGATTAAGGACTGGCCTGGTATTGATGCTACTACTGGCGATAGTGCAGGCAACCTGGCGTTCGGTCTGAAGCCCGACTGGATGGCATACTTCCCTGAGATCGAGTTCAACTACGATGTGAGTCTGCCTATACACTGACCAAGACATGGCGAGCTAATTATGAGTAGATGTACCCTGCACGACTGATGCCTGGTTGCGATATCTTCATCAAGACAACCGGTACATCAGATAGGCAAGGCCGTCTTCTTCTGGAGGCACTCGGCCTTCCCTTCTATGGCAAGGCTAGGCACTAAATTACGATAGAAGGCGTCATTGTAAGGCGTTGGAAACAAATGTCATCTCTAAGTAGCTGATATGTAGCATAGATTCATGTACCAAGACGTATGTATCATAAATGAATACTTAAAATTCAAGGCGAATTGCCTATACCATTCCATTTTTGTTACCATCCGGTTTCTTCATCTATCTTGACCTCACGACATGTGCTTCAGTCCAACGCCCAACTCCGTCCCAATGCACCCGTTCGTTATGCTTTGATGTTGATCCCACCAAAATTTCTCAAGCCTTGCCAATCTTCTCGCGCAATCCGTTGACAACCTCGTCGACAGCCTCCATACTTGTAGCATCGACCTTGTCGGTCTTGTGACCCCTCTTGGTCAACTCGTCGGCGAAGAGATCCATGGCTGGTTGGTAGTTGCGCACCGCTGAGCTCAGCGCATACACAGCCTTGCGACGAACATCGTTATGCTCATCCTCCTGGGTCGCTAGGTTTACAAGTAGTGGAAGTCCTCCCATGGCGAGCAAACGTTCCTGTGTGCGCTCGTTGTTCTGTACAGCGGTTCCCACACACCAGGCCGCCATCTTGCGCATCTCTCGCTCGTCATGCTTGAGCTGATCGAGTAGTGGGGTCCACAGGCTGAGATTTGCGATGTTGTTTGCATTGTCAAGACCCTCAATGAGCTGCTCAAAGTTGTCAAATGCGATGAGTTTGTCGTCAAGAGAGACCTGCTCAGTGTCGTCTGATGTGATTATGTCCATAGAAGCCTTCATCAGGTCGGCATCGGAGGGACCGCCCATGAGCGATGCCATGAGTTCTGGGGTGAGTTGTGTGGTGGGAGCTGAGGCATCAGGGTCATTTCTGGTGGCATCTGATTGCTCAATACTCCATTTGAGAAGTTCGTTGAGTCGCTTGTCATCCATGTTTCTTGTTTTTGTAGTGTTTCCTGATTTGTTGTTTAAGTTGAATTTGTTGAAGGAATAAGAACAAAAAACATTTAATCTTTTGATACTTGCTTTCAATTTTCAACTTTACCAACCGTATCGATTAGAATTTGCCCATTTCTGGAATCTTCAAGAAGACTCTAATCCGAAAAAGGTCTAGCTCAAAACATGTACACAGGATGTCGATTCTCCGTCGACCGACCAATTGTTCTCTCGTAGCTCGATAATGATACATTGCAGCCCGATGAGTGCCTTATGATGACTTGTACATATTTTTGAGTCAAGGAGCAGAGTAGCACCAAGCTTCTGCTGCGGGTAGACACCGCAATTCAACTGACAGTAGTTCTACGTGGCAGAGAAATATTTCATCATAGCTCCCCTCCAGCTCAGCAAAGCTGCCCCCACCTTGCAAAGTTGCCCCTCATCGCTGCTTTTGTGGCCGAGACGGGAGAACGAGCTCAAAGCGAGAGCGAAAAAGGATTGTGTACAAGATACCAGTGATCAGTACTTCAGTACGCCCAAAAGCATGGTTTACTAGGAGGGATTGTGGCTGGTTGAGGTGACGCGCGTGTATTGCGTTGCATGACACTTGCAGGAGCCTGGCCGCAAGGCTACCACGAATACTGAAGTCTGAACTCTGAAGCTCCATGTTCAAACTAATGGAGCCTAGCTGGTAGACGTATTTCGCATCTTCGAGAGGCGCCGGAGATCCCGCTGTTCGTAGGTAAGTAAGCGAAGGCATTCATTCTCACAGCCTGGTTACTGGCCGACTGCTCCCGCTGGTGGGTTTCCCCGGCTGGGCTGGGCAGGGGCCAGATACAGGGGTGTAATTAAGAGTTAGGAGATCTGTTGATTGTGAAGCCAATATTTGACAGCCTCGTGGTTCAGGGGTGCTCATATAGCGGTGTTCAAGTTAGGTTGCCAAAACATGAATCACACTCATGACAGTGAACGAGATATGACCTTCAGACAGGGACTCATCTCGTTAAAGACACAATACACCTTCAGCACCGCCAATTTGGTTATCAAAGAAGTCTCTACATAGTGATGGAGGCGATTAACTGCGTAATATCGAGGCTGTTCTCGCTGTAAATGTACAAACCTCTACTTACCCAGCAAGGACCAGTCGGAATGGGCGGGTGAGTTGTGTCTTTTCAGTAAACGAACCAGACCCTAACGCGTATTTATGGTTGGTCAGCAAGAAACTTCATCGATACAGAAAGCTGTCTCCGCGTAACTCTGCCCTGAACGAGCACTTGCTTGATTAGCCGCTTGTGCTAATTATGGAGTGGAACTCGGGAACTGGAAGCTGGGTACCGGTTCCAATCTGCGGAGCATCTGGAGATTTGGGCATGGAGATAACAGCCCCTTTTCAGTTCCTGAACCCAAGTGCTTGGAGTCTTCGGGCGGTTTGGTGGTTGTTCTGATCGAAAGATCCTACAGCATAGGTAGGAAGCAAATAGACATTCCGCTCATGTACAGACCTCGCCCAGGAATGAAGATTGGACGGCATCTCTGAACTCTGTGTGGCTGGGGCTGACCTGAGCAGGAGGTATTTGCGTACCTTAGACTTTCTTGATGATACAAAGATGCCTAGATTGGTATGTTGTCGACAAAGTCATTGATGTCTAAAAGAATGTCATTCTGAAGAGCGAATCTTCAGCAGCTGAAACACTAAGATACTTCGCCAAGAGAAATAAAAGGAAGCCTCAGAGGCTGCAGCATTAGAAAGTTCCCTAGCTGACGTCTTCACCAGCTCGCGTGGCGGTGGATGAAGTTCTGCTTACGACGTCACCTTGTGCAGAAAGGATAAAGTCAAGACGGTGAAGCGGCCCCTTATCCTCTGTCGGGACGTGCATGCAAACGCTTAGGAGCTTGTTGCAAGTTGACAAAGAATCACTACCGATCAACAAGATCACTAGATATTCCGACATTGAATCACGAAAACTTGCACCCATATCAATTCTTCCAGGAATTGGCGATCACGAACCTCTACTTACTGTTGTAGGTAAGCTCTCCACCTCAGCCACCGCTATAACCATTCCACTGCGACCGCTGCTCTGCAACCACTGGGACAAGTTGCTCTCAGGGCATCCTTCTCTGCACTACGACCGCCACGAACCAATCAGTAAAGCGGCGAGCAGCTTGGAAAGACCTGTTTTTCTAATTGCCCCGCCTCTATTTCCCCCCTAGCAGTCAATAGCAAGAGGGTAGCTCTCGCTCCTGCTCTAGACTGTGCCTCGTCTGGTCAGTTTCCTTAGGTACCCAATTCTGGCAGGCGGTCTCTTCCCCCCCCTTGTCCCCAAAGTGTCCACCTCAGCAATTCGGGGCCCGCCCACAACTTTCTTGTGACAGCGTCGCCCGGCGATACTTGTCTCCTTTCCCCCCTCCCCCATTCTCCCGCCTCCGTCTCTTTCCCTCTCCCATTCCATTCCAAACTACTTCTCTTCAACTCTTCTAACCCCCGACCTCCGTCTCCTTCTCCATTCAACGTCTCTTTTCCCGTAAGCTTGCTCTTCCACCTACTAATTACTGCATCTTTCGGCTCTCTTCTTCTATAGCTCTTCGTCTTTTCTTCTTTCTCGCCCTTGATTCTTGGCCGCTAATCCCGTTTCTGGACAGCTTTCCCATACACACACCGTAATCCACAGCCATGGAGGGTACGTCGCATCATACCGCGTCGCTGCATCGTCGGATCTAAACAATCCGTTTTGAGCATCGCGAAGATCACCTCTAGACTCATGCTGACTTGTATTTCGCTTTATAGAAGAAGTTGCTGCTCTCGTCATCGACAATGGGTAAGCTCCCCCGCCTCTCTCACCGACCTCTGGACTATCTCCCCGCCTCTCTGCTCCTTGACCAGATCTGCCACCCCATCGTCCGATGCCCGACACCGGCCTCGACATGGATGCTTAGGAGTGTTTGGTCTTGGAATTGGTGCAGAAAGTTTTCAGCATGTCCATGATAGCTAACTTGATATCAGTTCGGGTATGTGCAAGGCCGGTTTCGCCGGTGATGATGCTCCCCGAGCTGTTTTCCGTGAGTACCCCACTTTCTAGCCTCTGCGCCCAAAGAATTGATATCGCATCTCCTGGGCGCAAGTTGATCAGAAACTCAATGCTAACATTGTAAACAGCTTCCATTGTCGGTCGTCCCCGTCACCATGGGTAAGTTGCAGCTATCGCGGCAAATTCTGCCGCCTCTTTGGTGGCTGGCCACTGACAAATTCTCAGTATCATGATTGGTATGGGTCAGAAGGACTCGTATGTTGGTGATGAGGCTCAGTCCAAGCGTGGTATCCTCACTCTGCGATACCCCATTGAGCACGGTGTTGTCACCAACTGGGACGACATGGAGAAGATCTGGCACCACACCTTCTACAACGAGCTGCGTGTCGCCCCCGAGGAGCACCCCGTCCTGCTCACCGAGGCTCCCATCAACCCCAAATCCAACCGTGAGAAGATGACCCAGATTGTCTTCGAGACATTCAACGCCCCAGCTTTCTACGTCTCTATTCAGGCCGTTCTGTCTCTGTACGCCTCTGGTCGTACCACTGGTATCGTTCTGGACTCTGGTGATGGTGTCACTCACGTTGTCCCCATTTATGAGGGTTTCGCCCTTCCCCACGCCATTGCCCGTGTCGACATGGCTGGTCGTGATCTTACCGACTACCTCATGAAGATCCTTGCTGAGCGTGGTTACACTTTCTCCACCACCGCTGAGCGAGAAATCGTCCGTGACATCAAGGAGAAGCTTTGCTACGTCGCCCTCGACTTCGAGCAGGAGATCCAGACTGCCGCCCAGAGCTCCAGCCTGGAGAAGTCCTACGAGCTTCCCGATGGTCAGGTCATTACTATTGGTAACGAGCGATTCCGTGCTCCTGAGGCTCTCTTCCAGCCTTCTGTCCTGGGTCTTGAGAGCGGTGGTATCCATGTCACCACCTTCAACTCCATCATGAAGTGTGATGTCGATGTCCGAAAGGATCTCTACGGCAACATTGTCATGGTAAGTTTCATGAAAATAAGCTGTCCGAAATGTTCTAACATGCATCCAGTCTGGTGGTACCACCATGTACCCCGGTCTCTCCGACCGTATGCAGAAGGAGATCACTGCCCTTGCTCCTTCTTCCATGAAGGTCAAGATCATTGCTCCTCCCGAGCGAAAGTACTCCGTCTGGATCGGTGGTTCCATTCTTGCTTCCCTGTCCACTTTCCAGCAAATGTGGATCTCCAAGCAGGAGTACGACGAGAGCGGTCCCTCGATCGTTCACCGCAAGTGCTTCTAAGGTGTGTCAAGCTCCTGGTGACTGGGGAGGCTTTTTGCTAACTTACTAAGCTACCCGACCGACAAACTATATCCTCCCACTCGCGCAACGACGACAAGATCATGGAGGTGGCGACAGACGCTAAGCTTTGGGTGGTTGGCAAATGTCAAAGTCGAATCTCATATTTACGAAAAGTTTTTGACATGGTCAGAAGGGTGGGCGTTGCGCTTACGAAGAGATGTGATAGCCCCTTTGTTGTAGTTGCGCGTGTAATGCGTGCCTAGGGGTAGAAGCCGAGGTTGACATACAAATACTTTTTTACTTTCCGCTTAGAATTTTTTGAAATGAAACGAGGTGATGACATGATGTTTGCTCCTTTGCGTACATTAACCATATCCACATACATAAGATCGTAATTAACTCCTCATAAGTGCTTTCGTAGAGCATTGATCATGGTTTTTTACTTGAGGTGTCTGGAGGTAGAGAAGTTTGGTAATTCCTTGCATCGTCTGTGGTTGGGTCATGTCCCTCCATTGCAGCAGGGGTTGTCTCTGACTGCGCTTCAGTTTCAGCAGCCGCAGCGGCCTTTTCTTCTTCGAGTTTCTTATACTTCCTACGACTCTTTTTAGAAGCGCTTGCAGCTCTCTTTTGCTTTACCTGGCCGACAATAGCCGATCGACTCTGATCTCCATTGCGAAGCTCGTCAACACGTTGCGCAAGTAATTCACGGGCGTGCTTTCGGTTCTGGTCTCTCGAACGGGTTGCTTGCGACTTGACGACGATACCAGTGGGTATGTGCTTCAGCTGGACTGCGGAATTGGTTTTATTCTAGTGTAACAAATACCATGTAAGTTGAAAGGACTCCCAAGGACTGAGCAACAGCGAGGGTGCTAGACAAAGGGTACGCGTACAATCTTTTGTCCACCAGGACCGCTGCCTTTGACATAGGACTCTTCAATCTCAGATTCAGGCGGGGGCTTCGGTCGAGGAGGGAGAGCTTTCGCTAGAGGGATAGATGTATTGTGAAAGGTCCGTATTGGAAGTGCTGCGGGAGCGCTGTAGCGGATGGTTCGGAGGAGTTTGAATGGCGTCATTACGATGCTATTGAATGCAGACATCCAATAAGAACATCAAATGCTTTGTGCCACGGCCGTGAATTAGAATCGTGATCGAGTCAAGTTGAAGATTAGGCACTGTCTACGAGGCTGATATCACCTTCGTCTGCCACGAGCAAGCCACACCAAGTCACAGCCACGAGCCAGTCGCGTGTCAGCGGCCTACAACAAGGTGGTGATCCAGTAAATTGGACACCCGCACCCCCTGTAAGTTTCAATACATCGAAACCTTAGCACTTCCCTGCGGTGCCTCCGGTACCCAATTTTCGGGAGCGTCGGTACGATAAAGGCACAAGGAGCCCAGATAAAGGAGGGTCGGGCGTTCCCTGATCCTTATCCTTATCCTGTATTCTCCATTGTCTCAACCTTTTCTCCTGGATCTACCACTTCAAACCATTCATTTCAGCACACGGCAATTCTACGACGACGCTTACCGATTTCTGCGATTGATTATCAAATTTCGATTCTTCATTTCGACACAATGGCCGTTCTTGGATCATTTCGCAAGTGGTTGAGCCTCAAGCAATACCAGCTGGAGGTCACTTTCAGTGTGTACATGTTCACGCCCTGGGAGAAGTTCTTTTTCAGTACGTTACCCGGAATCTCATACGTTCAAATCGTCGTCTCCAAAACACTAATTGATCGTCCTAGGCTCCATTGTTTTTCTCCTCTTCAGCTTGACCTTCATCGCCGCCTGTCTTTACCTCCCGCATCACATCTCTTTCCTCGTCGGTCGCGCCTGGTACTATATCAACGGAGAGCACATTGACGTTGCCGAGGTGGTGCAGGAGGCTGTCAAAGATATGTCTGCGAGCGCGCTGTCCGGGACACCTGCGAGTGTCATAGATGTTACAAAGGAGACCGTCGAGACGGTTGTGAGAGAACTATAAAATCCAGCACTGGATCACTCACGCAACATTCTTGGAAATGCATACATGCTGGACATTGGCACAGAAATGGCATTATAACGAGGAGGCTCTACATAGATGAGTCGTAAGAGCCAGTCTTTAACCAAAGATCCGCGAGAGATGGCTCGGGTTTCATCTGGTATACGATATAATGGATATGGATATGGATCTACAATACTTTGGCCAATAGATGGCTGTAATGATAATACACTTTTACTTGGTAATTTCGCCGTTCATCTCCACCGTTCAATCTGTGCAATGCTATCAGAGGTGAGCAAGTCGCAGGTTTCGATATGAAGGAAATTTCTAGTAACGTTGTAATCATAACTTTTATTTCTATGGGTCTGCAGACACCTGGAAATACGCCTGGCTGAAGGCATATACTCTGAGTGAACTATCCTCTCCTGCAACAGCCACCTCAAATGGCCTCTCAGCACCCTCTCTTATCACAGGACGCCATGCAAGCTGATGAACAGCCTTGGGCAAACAGTAACTAGAGGTAACGTCAGTAGTTGGTTCTTTTATATCGGTAGTTTACGAGCACTTACTCCTCACATGCAGGCTTCTCAGTAACATCAGTTCCATCCTCCTTAATCAGACAAAGACTAAGTCGTCCAAGTTCTGTACCAACTGCCAAGACAAGTCTGCCGTCAATAACCTGAGGGACAAAATCGACGGATGTTACAGGGGATGCAGTTGGGATAGAGGCCGTCTGAGAGAACTGAAGTTTTCCATCCTCATTAGGCTTGGCGGCCCAGATGCGAACTTGCTTGTCACGGCCAGCGGTTGCAAACACTGGTGCCGTAGATGAAGCAGGCGCCCATGCTGCGTCAAGGACCATACGTGTGTGGCCCTTAGGGTTGATCTGCAGGAGCTTGTACGCAGCCTCATCCTCAGGGGCGCGCTCAAAGACAGCCCATTGGCGATCGCGGCCTACACTTAGGAGGTACTGGTCGTCAGAGGAGAATCGAAGGCGGGTGGCTGTTAGAGAGTGTGCGGTCAGAGGCGGCTTGAGCTCAGTCCAGCGAGTTGTCTCGAATAGACGAATTACGGCGTGGTTGGTTGAGCTGGCTTTGCATGCGCTGGCGACGAGGGACCCATCGTGGCTAGCTGCTAGACAGGAAATCTCGTAACCATGTCCATACAGCTTCTCGGTTTCAGGCCACAAGGTATGTCGTGAGAGTGTCTCTTCGAAAGGAGGGTGATCGATCTCCAAATGTGACTTTTTGACTATCGAGGCTGGATCCATGGCTTCACGGTCCCGGTCATCAATGGGCTGAATCTCCTGGTCATCCTCCACGGCATCAATTGCCTTGTTAGACAGTCCCAGGACTGGCATATTGGCAGCGTCTGGCATGTTCTGAACGTCCATGCCACCACCGATGCCTGCAAGACGGTTGAGCATCGAGGCAACAGCTTTGGGTTCGCTAAAGACACGCATGAGTTTCTCATCGGCCCCTGAGACGAATTGAGAAGCTCCCACAGAGTCAATACAGTTGAGATCATAGCCGTGAATCTGAGGCCGGGACATTTCATGCCATGTCTCGTTTCCAGGTCTGTCCCAGCGTGTATGAAGTCGTGTGGTTTGGTCAGAGCTTGTTGACAAGAGATACTCACCATTCTTGGCCCACGTTATACCTGTAACAGCTCTGGTGTGCCCTGAAATAGCAACACATGGCTGCCAAAAGTCTTCCGTGGGGACATATTCCCATCGTCTCCAGCTGCCAGTACGGCCGAGGCAGGCCACTGATATACCATCAGGAGACCACAATCCCGTCCAAAAGCCACCTGTGCTTCCGGTGGCTGTTGTTGCGCCTTTCTCCCTGCTGATCTCACCGAGTCTCGCCATACTGACCCAGATTCCAGAGCTTGTGTCAGCTTCCCAGATGGCGAGCGAGTTATCGGCTGATGTTGAGAGGAGCTGTAGCTTTCCGTCATCCTGTCGTTGCCAGCGTGCACTGTATATCCAGTCCTCGTGACCCAAAAGGAGTGCTTCGAAAGTAACTGAGAAGTCCTTGCCAGCGGACTTGAGACGATGTGCCTTGTTGGAGGGTGATTTCCCGGGAAGGTATGCGTCGCTGGAAGGGTCTGAACCACTGGCAGCAGCAGCGGGCAACTCTCTTCCCTGATGGAATCTCCAGATACGGATGTATTTATCCTGGCTTGCTGAGGCGAGTAACAGATCGCTGTCAGGGGCGCATGTCTCTTTGGCGAAGCTCAAGCTCCGTATCCAGCCCTCATGTCCTGTCAAAGTGGCTTGCACATCGAACTGAATATTTTCTGACTTAGCCTCAGCTGTGAAAATCTGAACAATATCCCTTGTGCCAGCGGATGCTAGCACCAAAACATCGTCTTCATCTCCAGCGTAGCTGAGCGATAGGCACATGGGGAAGTACTTGGGTGTCGTCTTGACGCTTTGGAGTAGCGTGAGCTGATCATTCTCGAGGTTCCAGATTTTTATGGAGGCATCTGCACTTCCAGTTGCGATAATCCATTTCTGGGCTCCCTTGATTCCCAAGGCGGCGATACAGTTGATAGCAGCAGTGTGCTCTGTCGAGGTGTGGATGGGCTTGAATTCATCACTGCCCCGAGATGCTTTCCAGATGATTATGCTCTTATCATCTGAGCCAGAAACAAGAAATGAGTTTTCATCCTGGCCTGCCTCGGGGAGAAACGTCAAGGCCTTGACAGTGCTCTTATGCCCATTGAGCAGCTTTGTGACTCCCTTAGGAGGATCCGACTTTAGATGTGTTAGTACAAAAACACCTAGATGATTTACGAGAAAAAAAAACATAGAAGCAGGGTATATTGACATTAGAACAGCAAGGTGACTCGAATACTAACCAAAGGTCGCCATAACGCAATGTTAATATCGGCTCCAAAAGCCAAAATCCCACAATGACTCCAGTCCGCAACAGCCGTCTGTCGGTTGGCTCCCGAGGCGAGATATTCGATGGATACGGGTCTTGAGCCCATTCTTATCCCTATCGCCTTTCGTCGTCTCTGGCGTGAAGTCGTTATTTTTAGAGGTTGTAAAGATGAGTCTGAAAAGTGTGTGCTTCTTGACATCTGATTGGCTGTAGAGACGTCCTGCTGAGATTTTTTGGACCAGTTTGCTTATGTCATCCGATTCACGCTTGCAGGTGGCTTCAAACACCACACATCAAGAAAAGCAATTAATGTCAACTGCCTAACAAAGGTCACGGGTCTTTTTGTTACAGAGACACAGGTGAAAACATCCTCATTCACGGTACTATCCTCTTCGTTTACTCACTCTCCTCTCGTTACCAAAGAGAAAACTGAGTGTTTCCATTGTGAAGGGGAAATAATTAGCCTCTTACACCACATCTCGTCGATACCTTAGACACAGTTTCATTACCGCCAACCAACACCTCGGGATCACCTTTTATCCACTACTAGAAAAGCAAAGTCACAATCAGTTGACGGCAGTAGCATCAGGATCACGCTCATAGATCGTCACTTCGCTTCAAGTTGCACATCTCCTTCACAATGGCTGAATCGACATCGGCTCCCAAGCTCAACATCGACGTCGAGTTCTCGTAAGTCGTTTCATCAAGATTTTCATCTTGCATGTATTATATGATCTATCACCCGTTTGCACGGTCTTGAATCAGACTCAGACTCAGACTTAGACTTAAGTCTACCCCCTTCTGCGCTATCAAATTTTCTCCTGGGCGGGAGTGTCCACCTGAACCACGCTTGTGCCTGGATTCTCGCTTCCAACGAGTCTCTTCTCTGCATTCTCTTCAATCTCTTTGCTTTTTCTTGGTCGTCCTGGTCACTGGACTAACATTGTGGCACTGCAGTGGCGGCCTGGAGATGCTCTTCTCCAACAAGAGGCAGCATGCTCTGGCCATTCCCGCGGCAAACCAGGACGGGAAACCCGTTGACATCGCGTATTTGATAGACCACCTATGTCAGAATGTCATGGATGATTCTCGCAAAGATCTTTTTGTTCTAGACAACCACCTGTACGTCTTGGCCACTGTCTACTCTCTGTCTCTGTCTCCGTTTATGTCTTTGTATCGCTATACACACTCCCCTTGACCATGGCCGCGGCCGTATTGGTTCGAACAATACTTCAATCCATCTCCTACCTCATTTGATTGTCTTTGTGGCTAATAAGAGTGGCAAACAGTCGACCAGGTATCCTGGTTCTGATCAATGATGCAGACTGGGAGCTCGAAGGTGAGGAGGCCTACGAGATCCAGAGCGGTGACAACATCTTGTTTGTCTCAACGCTGCATGGAGGTTAGATTGTTGAACTCTTTGTCCGCTTTAGCCCTCAAAACATCACCGCGGGTCGGTCAGTGCAGTACCGGTACGGCGTTTATTGAAGAATTTCTACATGCATGCACATATACATACAAATCTACGCATTCCCACGTATGCATACAGAAAACACAAATCCCTTGCATATCGAGTTGTTGAGAGATAGGCAAGGACATGGACATGGTATGCATCGAGTGCATGCACAGCCAAGTCCACAACAGGCCTGTCTCGGGCTGACATCAGGTTTCGACACGGCGGGACTGATACGCGAATGTTACTTGCTCCTTTGGGTCTCACTGTCTTGTCTTTGTTGTCTCTCGCCTCACCTCGTCTATGCTGTACATCTTGCCACTCCGATGAAACGACCGTCTTATGTGGGCAATGAATGGATCATACAGGTCGCTTGCGCGTGTATCTGCGCCTGCACTCCCCGTCTCAGCCAGCCCTGCAACGGCCTTTAGAACCAACGTCTCCAGCCTCTAGTCTAAGCGCTTCGATCTTAATCCCAGCAGAAGCCCATCTTGCATCTAAGGCACATACACATACAAGGAACGTGCATTGTGTGCACAAACACCATCAACGGCTTTGTGGAGGCGAAAAAGGAAAACCCACTTCGGCTTGCATGCCTTGCATCTACAGCCCTCGAGATCAGCAAAGCCTCATTTCTTTAAAACTTGGAGGGGAAAATGGAATGGCGGACAATAACACGACGGGCCGTGCCATTGTGACGTTATCTACGGCGGTGAAGGGAAGATCCCACCCAAAGTGCTCTGCCACATGGTTGAGATGCAGAGGTACGAAATGAGGCTTCAAGTGCATATGCATGAGAGTAGATCCATTTTCATGTGCGTTTACTAGGCTCTTTAGAAGAAGCTGGCCATCCAGGGGAGAGGGAGAGAAGAGAGTAGAGGCGGGGCGGTGAATTTTAGGG